ACCCCCCAAAAAACCCCTTATTTCACCAAGGGGTATTTGTGCCTGGGATCTACTACACCAAATCACCTAAAACCATTAATAACTCAACAAACTGTGTGGACCATCACCCATTCCAGTGCCAGACAACACACTCCACACCACTCTTCAAAAGCTTGAACTTACTTAATTTACAAATATGCACTCATACTATATTTATAGGATGTTCAATTCCAATATAAACTCTTCTTTGAAACATTTTCTTAATAGGTACAACAGAACACAGTCATATCACAAGACACAAAACCCCTCTGACATCCCCCGTATCCATCTCGATCTGTGTAAAAATTTAATGCGCATAAAAGGCCCTAAGATCCAGAAATTCCTGTTTGAAAGGTCTCCTATCTAACAATCAATTCAGAGCTACTGTTAAAAAGCACCTCATCTCCCAAAAATAATTGAAACAGCAATATGCTATGTCAAATAAAACCAGCTTCATCCAACTTTTGTCCCTGTTCTTCCAGTCTTCCTTAAAACTCCCATAGAAAATTGGTAACACATCCTGTCCAACTGTATTTCTATTGTAACTAAGTAACTTGATGTATTTTCACTATCTCTATTCAATCACTCCACAAAACTGAATATCACTGAATACTTTTGTAATGACCATTGGTTCATTAGCTACCTTTCTTACTGTACATAGATTGCAGTTAACTACAAAAGAAATCTACTTAATAGTCTATGACTAAATCTTAAGTAACATTTAAGCATCAGGATTAGTTTGCCCAAATGCACTGCATAATTAGTGGCTTTCTTGTGTGCCTATCAATGTTTTGTTACATGTTAATTTGTATTATTTGTACTGCACAAAGAAATAAAAAATTTTATTTTTATTGTACTTATCTGATTGCAATCCCCCAATATTTTTTTGAGTTGTCTTCCATTCTGTAATACCATGTTTTCTTGTTGTTGTTGTCATCTGTGCTTCCCTTCACCATTAGAGATGTTCCAAAATTTCTGGAGACGAGCCAGCCAGTTTTCTGGATAATTTGCACCTGCTTTAGTAGGTGTAACATCATCTACACTTGACACTATGAAAACAATCTGAATTAAAAATAATAATAATAATTTATAAAAGTAGATAATCATGTTATCAAGTGTATACATATGTACAAAATTTTAAAAAAAAAAACCCGCATTTATGTTCAGCATTTTGGGAATTTATACTAGGACTAAACAACTTAAAGATATTACTGTATGAGGCTGAAGATCAAGAGCCCCTCACCAGTATCAAGGAACCTCCCTTGAGGGGACAAACAGAAGACCAGGAAAGACTACAAATGTATTTGAACAAGCTGCAGGATTAGCCAGACAAATGGCTCTTAGAATTTAACCTCAGCATAAGTAAAGTAATGAAAATCAGGGGAAAGGGTAAAGACAACCAGAAACAGAGTACGTACATGCTCAGGGAACAAGAGCTGCAAACCTCCCTGAATGAGAAGAACCTTAAGGTGAGCATAGTCCCAAGCATTTCTCCTGAAGCAAGGCTGGTAAATTTAAGGGTAGCTTCCAAGATTCTCAACAAGGAGGCATTCATGACCCTATACACAGCACATACCAGAGCCATCTTGGAATAAAGTGCTAGTATGG